AAGGGAATGCCAACAGAGAAACAAGGCCAGAGGAACAACTGGGAACAACCACTTCAAAATTCTAGGTTCCACACTGGAAGGAGCCAATGGGAGTGGGATTGACTGGGATGTTGGCAGTAACACTGAAGCACATGTCAAAAAGAAGTGAGAAAACAAAAGAAAAAAAGTAGAAAATAATGTGAGCAGGAGACCCTGCTTCCCAGTTCAGTCCAGAAACTTCTAGGAAAGATAGACGGTGCCTTGCATGTAATCAGGGCCAGTGCTGGCATATTTGAGAACTTTGTGAACATTAGAAATGTATCTGTATTTATACATTTCTTTGGGCAGATGAACCAGAAAATGCTGCCTGCTCTTCCCCACTCACGCAGGGCACTGAGGAATGTATTCAAACTAAGAAGGCTCTCGGTCGATGCTACGTGTGTATTCAGGCTATACATCACGCCCAGAGTGGTTTCTTGGGCCGTAAAAATATTTCATTCATTTCTGAGTTAGTAGAAGCTGGAGAAAGAAAGCAGGCTTCAGGCCTTTGTAGTGACACTGTGGGTTTTGTACTTGGAGAAATTTCTCTGTGGGTTCCTTTTGGCTGCAAAATAAGATGGTCTGAGAAATGAGGGATGCTCCAGATAAGTGGCCCCAAGCGGACCTCACAGTCAGCTCTTTGATCTCTGAGGCACTGTCCTGCTTTTAGAATCTATGGCTGGAGCTGATCCACCTGGTCATCGACATACTAGTAGAACTACTGACGAGGGAGGAAGCCTGGAAGTGGATTTATTCAATAAATATTTATAGAGCAACTCCTCCTTTCATCACCTTGCATTTGGGTAGCACTTTACTGTTTACAAAGTCTTTTATGTTTCCTCTATAATCTGTCCTTCATGGCAGCAACCTTGTAATGTAGACAGGAACTATTATAAACATTTTACAGATGAAGAAACTGGATCGCAGAGAAATTGACTTACCCAAGGTCATGTGAAGGATCCTTGGCAAAAGGAGAGCTAGAAATGCTGGCTGTTAGGACGGGGTACTTTCCACCAATCCAGAGAATTCTATGTTGGCTGATAGAAGAAATGCGCAAGCCCCTAAGAGAGTGATGGTGAACCTCTGACACGCGAACTCATTTTTTTGGTTGATTTTTCTTTGTTAAATGGCATTTAAATATATAAAATAAATATCAAAAATATAAGTCTTTGTTTTACTATAGTTGCCAATATCAAAAAATTTCTATATGTGACACGGCACCAGAGTTAAGTTAGGGTTTTTCAAAATGCTGACACGCCAAGCTCAAAAGGTTCGCCATCACTGCCCTAAGACAGTGCCATCAAGAGAAATATAATGTGAGCTACATAGATAATTCTGAATTTTAAGGCACTAAAAAGAAGCAAGTGAGTTTAATTTTAATAATAATATTTATTGCAATTTGTTAAAATATTATCAGTTCACCCTGTAATAACTGTTAAATAATATTAATTAGATGTTTTCACGTTCTTTTTGTTTCACACTGAGTTGTTGAAATTACTGTGTATTTTAAAATACACACTGATTTTATACACATCTCAACTTGGATACTGAATTTTGATTGGAAATAGTTGATCTGTATTTAGACCTCATAAAATGTACGACTGAAAAGTGGATTCATGTACTCAAGTCAATCCAAGAACACTTAAAACTTTTCCAATAACTACATTGAGGATCAGTTTTAAGTTAAATTTACAATAGTTAAGAATACTTAAAATGTTTAAATTTAGTTCCTCTGTGGCACTTGGTCACATTTCATGTGTTCAATGGCCACACGTGGCTAGTGGCTTCTATTTTAGAGAGTAAAACCCTGACATGTCACCCTTCCTCCCAGGAACTTGCAGTCTGTATTTTGGTTTATGTGCTCGTATAGTTTAATCTTGTCCTTTGGTGGCCATGTTAAAAGTTGGTCTCCATCCTTACCCGTCAGTACCCATCTCCTTTAGTGGCCTCCTCTAACCTAATTCAGATCTGCTCTCACTTCCTCGTTCCCACAGCTGCCTGCCTATACCCTCCAGAAGATGGAGGTTGTGGCGGCCCAAGAGAGGTGGTATCTTTGATAAAAGTAGCTCTATAGCCTTTAGGCTAGAAACAGAGAACAATCTGGGAGAAAGAGTGGATTGACGGAAGGTTAGGATAGCAATATATTTAGGTGCAATATGACGCCCCTCCCTTTCCTTCTGGAACATCTTTGACATACACAGGAGTCTGGCCATCAGAAAGCTTGGCTCCTCTGCTTTTAAAAGCAAGTTCATCTTGATAGAGTCTGGCCATCTAAATTCTGGTTGGACTTTCCGAGTAAGTAGAAATGGTCAACTGTCTCCCAGAAAAAAAAAATTGTCTTGTTATCTAAGAAAAAGTGTACTCCATTTATGGGCATTGTTCCTGTTTGAAGAATACTTGAGTATGCCAGGCCAGTGTGGCTGAATACTCAAGTGGATTGAACGTCATCCCCAGTTCAATTCTTGGTCAGAGCACATGCCTGGGTTGCAGGCTCTATCCCCAGTGGGGGCATGTGGGAGACAGCCGATAGATGTTTCTCTCTCATCGATGTTTCTATCTCTCTCCCTCTTTCTCTCTCTCTAAAATCAGTTTTTTAAAAAACATACTAAAAATTAACGAAATACTTTGAGTAATTTTTTGTTCGCCATCGCTGCATAAATACATGTTTGCCTGTTTCCTTTCCTACAAGGGAAGCCTTGGCAGAGACTATGCTGCTGCCTTTGAGAATGAGCGTTCCTGTGTCTTTGTTGTCCTGTAACTCCATTGGACCTTGGTCCATAGGATTCATGGGCTCCATAAATATTTCAAAAATATAAATTAGAGGTGTCCAAGCCATCATTTTACATCTCCTTATTATTAGTGCCTCAGCTCCACTGAATACACACACAGAAAGGGTTCCTTTTCCCTCGCTCCCCTCATCCTTTGTTCTCCAAGGGGGTAAGAGGTGGGGGTTGAGGTAATGAGGGTGCAGGTCCAGGCTGGTCTGTGAAACCTGACCCAGAGTAAATTTGGTTATTAAACTCATCTTCTTAAATGCCCTAAGTTAAGCTATTTGATGTTAGCTGCTGGGAACACAATGCTGCCAATCAGACAAGCAGGAGCCTGCCTGTCCCCTCAAATATTTTACAATTAGAGCGAGGTATGTCTCATAGCTTTCAAGGTTGCCAATTTCCTTAAATGCACATCCAATTAAAACTCATTCAAACACTTCTACTAATAAGTAAAAGAAGTCTTGGGATGAAGTAGCCCTTTCCACTCATCCCAAGAGATGTCCTGCTAAATAAATGTTCCCATGATCAGATACGTTTGAGAGACACCATTGCTTCTCTTCCCTATTAGAGATTCATTCAAGGCCAGGAGAATAAAAGCCCTGTTGCATGGAAGCCTGTTCAGGTTGGTTTACCTGGAGTTAACTAAACTTAACTGATTGTGGGGCCTACTTTTTTAAGGAGCACTTACAAATCACTTACGGATTATTGTTCTCTGAACTTATTTGGAACATGCTGATTTTAAATAATATGCTTCTAGTCTCCATTAAGTTTTTAGTTGTACAATTTTTGGAAGAACATCAAGGCTAGGCAATATTTAAGGTTGCTTGTGACATATACAATTTGTGAAAATGATCAACTTCTGATATTTAGCCCTTTATTCATACTTGACCCCAATAATGTTAAAGTGTCAATGTTTTAATAATTTCACAATCCTTGAAAATAGTAAAAGAAATGAACTAGGCTGATTTTAGAAATCAGAATTTACTAATTATATTTCTGTTGAAGATGCTCAATTCCAGCATTCCACAGAACAGAGCCATTTTTATTTTTATTTTTTAATAATTCTTTATTGTTGAAAGTATTACATATATCCCCTTGTTTCCCCCATTGAACCCTTTGAGCCCACCCCACCCCCACCCCCACCCAGGCCTTTAGAACCCTATTGTCTGTGTCTATGGGTTATGCATATATGCATACAAGGTCTTTGATTGAGTATCTCCCACCCACCCACTCTCCCTCTGAGATTCCGCACTAACAGAGCCATTTTAGATTTCGAGTCCACTGAAGTCTAAACTGAGTTATCCTGAAACTAACTTGCAGGCCTTCAGTCAGTGAGTCAATCAGCACTGAAATCATCAATAATTACTTTAAAAAATAATATTTTTATTGATTTCAGAGAGGAAGGGAGAGGGAGAAATAGAAACATCAATGATGAGAGAGAATCGTTGATCAGCTGCCTCCTGCACGCCCCACACTGGGGATCAAGCCTGCAACCCAAGCATGTGCCCTGACCAGGAATCAAACCATGACCTCCTGGTTTGTAGGTCAATGCTCACCACTGAGCATGCTGGCCAGTCATCAAAATAAATATTTTTTGAGGACCTAATAGCCATGAAATAAGGCTCTAGGATACAGAATTGAAAACTACAAACACTCCTTATTCTCAAATGCTCTTAGCACAGAGTGGGATACTAACCTTACGGAAGTAATAACAGTAGACAGAAAAGTATAAGAGCTATGAGAATAAATATCAGGAAACTTCTACCTATTCAGCTCTAAGTTCAAATCTCCATAAACTAGAAAGGACATAAAGGAGGGGCCCACATTTCATCCAAAATGACAATATCCTTATTATATAAGGAGAGACACATCCCAGATAGTTGTTTGTAACATTTTCAATAATAAAATCAATGGCCCAAATGTGAAATTAATTGGAAGCCACAATTCTATTGCACTGTTTTAGCGATTAAGCCCATTAGATTGAATTGTTTCTGAATGCCTAATTATTGTGTCTGCCACACTCATCTCTTCGAGTCACTCCTAACTTTTGGACTGCTGCCTGGATCGTCTCTGCAATACGGTTGCAGTTGAGTATAAGCTCAAAGCGCTCAGTTGCATTTTTGCAAATTATAGATAAGAGCTAAAGAGTTTGTTCAAGTGTCGATTCCCTCGAGTTTGGGTGACAGTTGATATTTTATTGGTGTTTTTCAGGTCCATGATTTAAAAGTGCCTGTGGGAAGTCACTTTGGCTGGAAACTGCAGCCAGGGAGCTCCTGTGTTTTCAAGTCTTGTTTTCCTGTCCAATACACGTTACGTCGACCTTACAAGTGGATGAAGGTACCTCAGTTGTCTGACTTTACCGACTACTTGTTTTCCGAGTTTATAAAGGTGGGAGGAAACAGAGATCCTGCTAAGAGCTGAACATCTAAGTGGCTTCTTCTCCGGCACCACCGATAGCTGTGAGCTTCGAACTGGATATATTCTCCCAAGGAGTGCTGTGACATTGAAGTTCCTCATTAAAAACAGTGTGTCTGCAACACAATCAGGAGACTGGGACACTGACAGCCAGAGATGACACTGAGCATGCTTTTGTTTCGGCCTGCAGTCTTCAGGTGGGGCACATTGATTGATGAGTGACTGCTTGCCAATACGTTCTCTTCTCACTCTGTTCCTTGGATTGGACTTCATTAAGCAATTTATCACTTAACCTTCAGACTTACATGTGGGGTTTTTCACAATAGTGTTGCATCATTGGAACTTGGGTTGATTTAATCGCTTCACAGAAAGGAACAGAATCCAAATTACTTGATTGCCATGGCTTTGAATGTTGCCCCAGTCAGAGACACTAAATGGCTGACGCTAGAAGTCTGCAGACAGTTCCAGCGAGGAACCTGCTCACGCTCCGACGAGGAGTGCAAATTTGCTCACCCCCCCAAAAGTTGCCAGGTTGAAAATGGAAGAGTAATCGCCTGCTTTGATTCCCTAAAGGTAAGACAGTGCATTGAATGTCATAGCAATGCCACAGTGAACTTTCAAATGAAATGTTTTTCATTGTACTTTTACAGAAGTTGAACAATTGTTTTTAGATTCTGTTTTCTTATTTGTGGTAACTATTGGGAGATTTTCATTCATTTTTTTCATATCAGGCATATATAAATTTTTTTACAGATCCATGTTTAATTTAAAAATACATGATGCTATGTTTTTGGTATGGCATGACATTCATGTACCCGAGTTTTAAATCAAAGTCTGGCTGTGACAACTAAAGATAAATATTTTATTAATGTTTGATCTTCTGGAGGTTATATACAGGTGAAGAAATTGAATGTGTCACTTATGTGTGCCAGTTATCTGATTCACCTCTTGAAGAATTTTCTACTTCTGTGGCTTTCTTTTTTTTTTATTGATTAAGGTATTACATATGTATCCTTATCGTCCCATTCCCCCTCACCCCCCCACTCATGCTCTCACCCCCCTGTTGTCTGTGTCTATTGGTTAGGCTTATATGCATGCATACAAGTCCTTTGGTTGATCTCTTCCACTTATCCCCACCCTCCCCTACCTTCCCTCTGAGGTTTGACGGTCTGATCAATGCTTCTCTGTCTCTGGATCAGTTTATGTTGTTCATTATATTCCATAAATGAGTGAGATCATGTGATACTTATCTTTCTCTGTCTGGCTTATTTTACTTAGCATAACACTCTCCATGCTGTTTCAAATGGTAAGAATTCCTTCCTTTTTACAGCAGCATAGTATTCTATTGTGTAGATGTACCACAGTTTTTTAATCCACTCATCTGCTGATGGGCACTTGGGGCTTTCTTTCTTGACCAAGGACTTCCTAAAATACTTCTGAATATGATTTTCATTCTCTTTGACAATTTGACATGCCTAACAAATTGTTGAGTACACCCTCAATACACCTTGAGAACCTACTATGTGAAAGTTAACACATAACACATCACAGAAGAAACTAATGTGATTCAAGATGGCTTCCTTGATGAGTTCACTGGTAGGAAAAATGCAGCAAGCACATCAGCAAACAACTATAACTCAAGACAGAAAGGGGCACAGGCCCTAAAGGGAGAATAGAGAGACACCTTGTGTGGGGGTCTATAGAGGAGAGAGCTGGCTTCCAGCTGACTGTTTCAAGAAATGTTTTTGAAGGCTGTGCACCTGAGTTGTATACTGAGTTGGGTAGAGTTTGGACTTAAAGAAATGGGAAAATAATAATAATAAATCTAATAGAAGGAAATGGGAAGACTTAGCCCATAATTCTTTGAGGTTTATTTTGCCCTAAAATTGTGGATTTTATGAAACTCAGATTGTCTGTGACAGTCCTAACATTATCAGATCTTGTTTACAATGGAAATAAGTAAGATCTATAGCTAAAAAATAGCTTAATATTTACATCTCTGCACAACTTTATTTAAATAAGCTTACTAAGCAGTTAAAAAAATGTTGATTCATGCTCTTGATAAATGACTTGGGAAATTACTGTCTTATGAGTTTACAAAGTAGTGTTCTTAGCCTATTCTTGGGTTTGAAGGGACTGGATAAGTTATTTGGGGAAATTTTCATCTTAAAGTAAAAAAAAAGTGTTTTATAAAACTTTTAAGTCAAAATTAAAATAAAAGATTTTTAAATCATTTATTTAAGTATGCATTAAAGGGAAAATTTATCTATACACTAAAAACAGAAGACTACATTGATATCCCAAAAGAAGTCTTTTAAGGGTTAAAATTTTTAAAAATAGATATACTATTTACCTCACTAACTACCCCTATTTTATTAATCTTTAATCATTAAAAAATATTAGATTGTGCCCTAGCCGGTTTGGCTCAGTGGATAGAGCGTCGACCTGCAGACTCAGGGGTCCCAGGTTCGATTCCAGTCAGGGGCATGTACCTTGGTTGCGGGCACATACCCACTAGGGAGTGTGCAGGAGGCAGCTGATCGATGTTTCTCTCTCATCGATGTTTCTAACTCTCTATCCTCCTTTCCTCTCTGTAAAAAAATCAATGGAATATATTTTAAAAAAATATTAGATTGGACTTTAAAATTATGAATCATTTTGTCTACACATAAATGAATAGATGCACAAATTATAATTCATATAAACTATAACAGTATAAGCAATTCTTATGTTAGTTTTTATTTTGCTTTTATAGTCAAAAAAGAAAACTAAGTATGCATTTGCTTCTGTGATCATCACCAGTAGAAGCAGTCACTATAAAAGGCAGTGTAGATTAAAAACTAGATAACAAGAACTTCCACATACCAAAGAGGTCAGCAACGAGAAATTCATTTTCCAGCCCAGCCAGCATGGTTCAATGGGCAGCCAGCAGGTCACGGTTCGATTCCCGGTCAGGGCACATACCCAGGTTGTGGGCTTAACCCCCAGTGGGGGGCATGCAGGAGGCAGCCAATCAATGATTCTCTCTCATTGTTTATGTTTCTATCTCTATCTTCCTCTCCCTTCTTCTCTGAAATCAGTAAAAGTATATTAAGAAAAAAAAAGAAATTCATTTTCCAGGTTATCCCTAATTCCTTCATTTTGTTTATCCAAGCCTTCTCCGATATTAACTATTAATCTAACATTTTAGCTAGTTTCTTAAAACTTTTGATTTTTTAAACTAATTAGGGAAAAATTCCTGACCTACTAAGGTACATGTTTCTTGAGTATCAATAAGACAACAGATCTTTACAATTCATTACCTCACTATGGATTCTCCAAGGCCATAATTTTTTAAGGATTCCAACCCACAGAGAAAGTAACCAAGAACAGTTATCTTTACTGTAAAAACATAAACCAGCCGAAACCGGTTTGGCTCAGATAGAGCGTCGGACTGCGGACTGAAAGGTCCCGGGTTCGATTCCAGTCAAGGGCATGTACCTGGGTTGTGGGCACATCCCCAGTGGGAGATGTGCAGGAGGCGGCTGATCGATGTTTCTCTCTCATCGATGTTTCTAACTCTCTATCTCTCTCCCTTCCTCTCTGTAAAAAATCAATAAAATATATTTTAAAAAAAACATAAACCAAGCCATGAGAATGTTGAGCACTGTTCAAATGAAAAGGAACTTTACCCTTTGAAACAGCATGGAGGGATCTAAAGAGTACTATGCTAAGTGAAATAAGCCAGTCAGAGAAAGACAAGTATCACATGATCTCACTTATATGTGGAATCTAATGAACAAAATAAACTGTTGAACAAAATAGATCCAGAGACATAGAAGCATGGAACAGACTATCTAATCTCAGCGGGAAGCCAGGGATGGGTTGGTGGGTGGGAAGAGATCAACCAAAAACTTGTACGCATATATGCATAACCCATGGACACAGACAATAGTGTGGTGAAGGCCTGGGGTGGAGGGAGGGGCTGGGCTAGAAGGGGTCAATGGCGAAAAAAGGGGACATCTGTAATACTTTCAACAATAAAGATTTTAAAATAAATAAATAAAACAAATAATAAATTGGATCTTTTAAAAAAAATCATTTTCAGAAGTGTCTAATAGAACCGTTTTCCAGTGTTGATGCCTAACTACATATTGCCTCAAGTCATCGGTTCCCTTTTAGAATTGTAAATGTTCAGCTTATTTAATTTGAGTGTGTGTTATATATTTTTTAAGTTGTCAAACTATAAAGAATGTGAAAAGAGCCCACAGGCACAGGAGTAGAGCCAGAATCTAAATGCCTGCTCACCCACTTCCCAGCCGTGGGTGTGTCATTTATCACGTCTTATCTTTGTTGTCTCATCAGTAAAAGAGGATAATCGCCTGTGAAACTGACTGAAGGGCACAGTGTCCAGCACGGTGCAGGCGTATTCACTTTGCAAGGTGGTTGTAAGGATTGCAAGTCCTTACGACTGAGACTGGTAAATAAAACACTCACTCAAAAATCAGTAGCTAAAAAAAGAGTGACAATGCTGATAATAATTGAGCTATTTGATTTTATTTCATCGAAATGTTAAAAAGACAGTGTTGGCCAGTAGAAGCAGCCTGCAATAGAGAAAAGGGCAGGGGCCTTGAAGTCAGACAGGCCAGGCTTGAAGAAACCCTGGCTGGGACACATTATTTTACCTCCTTGACTTCAGCTTCCTCCTATTTAAAATTGATATAATAATTCCTACTTCATGAGATTACTTCAAAGGCTAACTGGCCTAAGACATGCCAGATGCCCAGCACAGGGCCGGACATGGTGGGGACTGGCAATGTTCGTTTCTTTCCCTTCTTACTAAAGTATCACAGTACAGGTACTGATTTTATGACTGGCTGTACAGGCAAGAGTCTTAAAATGTCCAATTCTTAAAGCATCCAACTCTTCATGTGTCCAAACTCAAAAAACTACCATGTGAGTGCTAATACCTCAGTAATACAAATTAGTCATGACATTAAAAGCAATAATGTTTGAGGCAGGCATCATTTTTATTGTTATTGAAATGATATTTTCTGCAAATACTGGGAGGTATTTTTATTCCTAAAAATAGGTACAAGGAATCGGTGTTGACCTATCAATATAGAGACAAGTCAGTTGTAAGGTTGAGATATTCCTTTTTGTTTTGTTTTGTTTTGTTTTTGTGACAAGCTATTTGTATACAGGAGTACACTTCCATAAATGCATACTAAACAAATGTGTGGATGTTTGGAAAAGAGATTTGCTGAACTCTTGGAAAAGAGAGTTTTACATATATAAATGCTTTTATAAAAGATGTTTCAGAAAATATAGCAGAGCTGTTGCAGTGGCATTTGTATTTTATTCACAATGCTTACCTTGTTGCGTTTTATGTGAAACTACTGAGCATGCAAGAATTTGTGATTTTGTTGTTGGTACAGTATTATTATGAACAATGGGATAGCTCATATCTTTTCTGGAAGGCCAGAACATCCTGGAACATTGTATTCCACAGTAAGGTTAACTTAACAAAATACAAATTGCTTCAAAGCAACAAATATCTCCGTAGCAGAGGCCTTGACCACCACCTCTACTCG